GGGGTGATACCACAAAGGGATGTCTGGGGAGATATATGAGCTCTGACTCTCCTGGAGTCACTTCCTCAGCTTTTGGGGATTTTTCTCTTTTGGGGAGGTTTCTTCAACTTCACAGTGCTGATTAGAATTTCCAAGAGTCTCACCAATTTTTCCTCAGGATTCCTCCTTGATAAAGTAAACACCCTTCTGGATTCAAACCACCAACTGGTTTTAAATTGTAACTTTGGTCCATCAACTAATGGTATTATAGGGTATCACTACTTTCTGAGTGCTTAGAGCAGTCCATGGTGTAGTGGGTTACATGTTGGATTGCTAATTGTAAGATCAATGATTCAAATCCATCAAGCACTCTGAGGGAGAAAGCTGGGGCTGCGTGCTTAAGTACAGAGTAACAGCCTCAGAAACCCTGGGTAGCAATACTACTCTGTTCGGGGGCGGGGCTGGGGGTGGGGGGGTGGCTATGAGTCATAACCGACTCCATGGCAGTGATTTAGTGCATCGGGAAGGGCAGTGGGAAAGTAAGACAGAGAAGGAAATTCCCACTACCATCGAGTGGATTCTGATTCATAGGCACCGTGGAGTAACTGAAGCTTAATACTAACAACTCTGGGAGTCATTATAGAACACACACTTCTGATTATCCTTTGAGACAGAGCTGGGAATGATGCTGTTGAAATCAACTTATTGGCAGTGGGTTTTAGAGCAGCATAGTATAAGGGTAAGTAAAAAATATTGCTATTAGGATTCAAGTTCATACACACCTGAGGTTCTTCCAAAAAGATTCTTTAAACATGATCTGTGATTAGTAGATGGCTTTAGCAGACGAGTGCTCTCAGAAATATACTTCTCTGAGTTTCATTAGGATGCCTTCTCCAAAAGGTCTAAAGAAAACAGTCGCCTCTAAGGGGATCTGCTGGGCTAGTTAAACTCAAGGCAGAGAGGTCACCTCATAAAGGTAAGGTCATTGTGATGTTGGGATTTGAGAGGGGTAATATTGATAGATTTTCTCTAAGGACACAGGATGATCCTTAGAGTGCTTATTATAGTTTTATATGAAATTAAAATTTCATTGATGAGAAAAAGGACAGAAAATTTCATGGAGGAATTTTCTTCTATTCAGACAATGCACCTGCTTATTTTTTCAAGAGTAGCAAGGGCTGGTCCATGAGACTTTTGTTGGGAAAACTTACCGCATATACTCTGCAGTCCCTTCAAAATTACTTCTATTCCTAATGCTGAACAGCAACAACAAAACATTTAGAAGGAATATGATTTGAGTCCCTTGAAGATGCCAAAACTGTTTTGATGTGATGTGGTATAAAACAAAGAGTGCAGAATTCTTTAGGGAAGGGTTAGAGATGCAAACACCAAGTGCAGAAGTGTACAGACCTAGATGAAGATATGCCTAGAAAGAACAGCTTCACATTTCAATATTTTAACAACGGGTTCTAAGGTTTTATAGCATTATTTTTTACTTACCTTTGTACTTGAGCTCCCAAGCAGCTATGGTGACTCAGGCAAGGTAAGGAGTTTACAGCATCACAGACTGGAGTCCTGGAGCCCAGATACCGCTGCAGGACCTCATCTGAGTTTTCCTTCTTTGATATTTGTCCCCATTCTCCTACCCGACTTATTGTATTTTTTGTTTATGAGATTTCTTTTTAACTAGATACCACTGGTGTGAAAATGTTGTGGATTTTGCGGGGGAAGGGAAGGTGAAAATCATTAGCACTAATCTGCACATGAATATTACCACTATACATAACAGCTACTATGTATTGGTACGTCCACGTACATAATGTCATTTAGGCTTGAAGATAATCACTTCAAATATTGTGCTAACTTAAAAAAAATAGAGGCATAGAGAAGTAAAGAAAAAAAGCAGGGTATGAAAGAGCTGGCACTGCCAAAGCCAGACTCAACTGCTATATCTACTTAGCCCCAGACCAGCCATGAAATGTTTGAGAAGAAATTCAGTCCATACAAACACAACCAGCAAGTGTCTACAAAGAGGAAAGCCCCAACAAAAACCATTACAAAGGGATAGGGAGAGACTCCCTTGTAGATCAAATGATAGATCCACCCAACCCTACCCAAAACCAATCTCCAAGTCATTATGCCAAAAGACATAAAAATCGAACAGAGATGATCAAGTATTTAGAGATCAAAGTAGCTGCAATAACAGATACAACAATATTGAAGCTGAGCTAGGGTGCTGAAGGCACCCAGCTGTCAAATTCATAGGAGGTCAGGTGGATGGCAGCAAAGAAGGAAAGGAGTGGAATGGCAATTAGAGATGACAATACCCTAAGAAAGTAAACGGTTTTAAATATTCTCCCATTCCCCCAGTACATGTCTAATACTATGGCCTACTCAAATGAGGAACAACGTATTTTTAAATGCAAATTACTAAAGAATCAATGGCAGGTTATAAAATCATAATTTCATATCAAGTTGAGGATCTAAAATGTAAACCCTCCCCCAATTTGCAATAAAATATATAAAAAAGAACCAGATATTTACAAATGTCAGTTGATAAAGATATCATAAACTTGTGTGAAAGTGTCATGTATAATGACAGCTGAGAATATTTCATAAAATTGAAATAAAAAATAAAGGTTCTGCTGCTGCCAAAAAACATAATTTTTTTTTAAAAAGTTGATGCCACCTCACTCTTAAGCACAATGTATCTCTTTAAGAGAAGAACAATTAACCCCCAGTACTTAACCATCTCCTTCTTTTAGGAACAAAGTCTAAGAGGTAATGACATCTGTATTAATTTTGGGGATTTGCATATCCTCCCACTATAGGATAAGCATTAAAAAAAAACTGCAAAGAGAAGTAAGAATGGACAAACTAGGTCATTCCCCATTTCTCCTTGGTAAGATCTTCATAATTTTAATGGTAATAAATTTCGAGACATCTACATTTAATTATAAATGAAAGGAAAAAAAACATACAAATAATGTGTTGGTTCTCTGCATCTTGGGTTCATCTATACTTCTCCTATTAATAAAAATAATCAAAAGGGGATATTACCAGGATTTTCTCAAAATGAAGAATAAAAAACAATTAAAAAAGAATAAAAAACAATAAAAATATCATTGGGACAGCTTTAAAAGAAACCTCTGTATTTTGAATGAGATGCTATCTGATGCATAATATATAGAATAATTTTTCTATTAAAACCCCACTTTTCAAACCCAGGGTTCATCACAGAAACATGAGAAAGAAAAACAAATCATCATGTCATGAAGTGCAGTGTTTTAAAAAAAAGCTGTTTTCTGCTTATAGAGACCTCAGATGCAGATCCATGCATGCTTCAGAACCCCAACACATGGTGCAGTCACATGTATAAATATTTAAAGTGAGATCCTTGAATATAATAAATTAATATGACACTTTTCAAAATAAGAGACTAGTAAACTTAGAAGTACAATAAATAGAACTCTGTTCAGAAGACTAATTGCTGCTGCTGGTATTCTAAAACTAAAATCAGTAGTGATATAATTTGGGTTCCAGCTAAACAAGCCTAGTGAATTTGCTTTGCAAAAATCTCACTGGGACTTGATGAAACCTTAGTGCTAAAATTTTTATTATCAGATAGGCTTTGTAAATGCATGCTTCCTGTCTGGCAACTGCCCCACCCCACCCCCCTCCACCACCACACTGGCTCTTATTCTAATGACATACAATTATTACAGGAAAGAAAAGAATCAAATCAGAAAAATCTGTCGTTTGCCATAGGATGGGGAGCTCCTCATGGAGAATGACTTTTTCACACAGCACAGGAGCCAAAAAGTTGTGTGATGGAGATGGGACACTCACATGTGTAAATGCACAATCTAGCTTATGTTAACATAAGCTCACATTTTATTTTATGATGAATCTTCTGATCCAGCACACAGTAGTTGAATATACTTGCTCATAGTGAGTCCATAAACCATTAGCCTAGAACATTTTGATTATGTAATAAGATTCAACCCTGTGTTTGAAACTCTGAGGCAATCCATTTTTGCCTGCAATTGGAGTCTTAGTTGCCACACTTTCTTCCTTGATTTTTTCTTTGCGGCTGTCTGGAACCTCTCACATTGGCGAACTACAATGTAGTTCACAGCTCCACTTATGGGGCGGGCCTTTGTTTTGCTTGAACTCTCTCTTTTTTTTTTCTCACTGCCTTCTTTCCCTTGTTTCTGCTCATTGTTTTTCTTGTCTCAAATAATATTGTTCCTAAAAAGCAAACCTATTCTATATCTTTACTGTTTTCGTGCACAGTAATTTAGCCTAACATCTATCAAATTTGGGTGAGATTTAAAACAAGCAAACCTCAAATCCTGCACAGATGTATCAACTTCTTAATATATCCTGAGAAATTCAAAGCTGTCTTAGAAATACCCGTATGGCAGTTTATTGGCTTATTTTAACAGGAATGCTAAAATAATCACAATTTCTGGATACTGAAAATTGTTTAATAAATGTTTGGGGTATAAATTCATTGCTTCTTTATAATTTGTTCAAACTCTGACAAGGTCTTATGATAATTTTCTAACGTTTTATATAAAATGGAAGTTATTCATAATTTTAAAAATATTCATCATTTAAAAAGTATTTAAAATTATGAATACATTCTATTAAGTAATATAAAAACTCTACAGTTCTTTAATGTAATAATTTTCAGGGATTTATCTTCATCTTTGTGAGATGATGAAAATTATCTTCCCTCAAGATTAGTTCTTTTAAGATTTCATAACTTATAAATAGCTGTTTTATTAGAAATTCAACAGAATTACAAACTTAAAATTGGTTTCCCATTCCTGTTAGACCCAACAAGGACATACATACTTACTGGAAGGTGGTATAAAACAAATAACGTATTGTACATATTAAAATCAGAGGTATCCTCCAGAAGGTTTTATTTTATAGGTATACCTTGAAAAGCAGGGTGTCACGGTGACTCTGGAAGCATTTATGCTTTGGACAGACATTCTAACAATAGTTACCTTGTTCTCTGGCGCGAACACTGTTGAGCCATGGCTTTGCTTGCTTTATTCCACCATTGTCATTCAGAATAGATGGCAAGCTGCAAGATGATTCATTACTATGAATAGACGACCTACCCTCACACTCTTCTGTAAGGGCTTTTTTCAATAATGCGGTTGCCTACAGGGTTTAAAAGAAAGCACAAAGAAATAAAAACAAACTGTAACAATATTCCTCTTGGTCTCAAAGACCCAGCCTTCAAACCTAATTTTACATTGGCTTTATTTAGAATTTAATTTGCTTCCCTGACATTTAACTGAAATTAAAATGTCTTCAAGATAAATTAACATCTGATTATTTCCCAGTATAATTCACTTCTTTACAACAATTTACACTCAAAATAATAATTTTTTTGAGGGCAGATCTTAGGCAATGCAGAAATGTTCTTGTACTTGTGAAGCATGTACTCCAACTAAAAAACAACTATGAATTGTTTCCCTCTTCAGTATGGGCTGGTCCATTTTCTCTGACACAACAGTCAGAACTCCAGACCTGCTCTCTTGAGGAAAGATTGACATTTCATTGTATGTAAGCATGTAAGATAAAGTTGGTTTGATTTGAGAAACAGATCTTAAAATATATGATGTGTGGTGTTACTAACTTTCCAAAAGTGACCCCTGAAATACCCAACATGAGGAAGATCGCAGAAAAACCATAGCTGATGAGGATATACTGAATAAAAGATAAATGGTGTGACTGAAATCAAAACCTCAACAAAGATGGTCTGTTTTCTGTCTCTAAGTCTGCAGCAAGCTTAGGGGAACTTACCTGCTATACAGCCTAACTGATTTTGAAGAGCCCTAAACTGTCTCAGGAGCTCTGGTGGCAGGCACGGTGTTAAAGTGTCTGATCTTTTACTGAAGGTCAATGGTTAGAACCCAACACGTAAGAAAGAAGTCGTAGTTTGCTTCCATAAAGATTTCCAGCCTTCAGTATCGTGTGAGGCAGCTCTGACTTACAGTGAAACACTGCCCAGTCCTATATTATCCTCACAAGTGCTGTGGCATTTGAGTCTATTGTTGTAGCCACTATGTCAATACCTCTTGCTGAAGGTTGTCTTATTTTTGCTGACCTTTATTGTGCCAGGCACGGTGTTCCCTCCTGATGACATATCCGAAGTACACGAGTCAATGCCTTGTCATCTAGGCTTCTAAGAAGCATTGTAACTGTACTTCTTCCAAACCAAATTTCTTCATACTTCTGGCAGCCCAAGGTACATTTAATACTCTTTACCAACACTATAATTAAAATGTATCAATTTTTCTTATCTTTCTTATTCAGTGTCCAACATTTACATACATATGAGACAATTGAAAATACTGTGGTTTGGAAGCAGTGTTTTGTTGCAGATTTGCACAATCCCAAATGTTTTTGATTTCTTGACTGCTGTTCAAAGGCACAAGGGAGAAAGATGAGGCTTTCTACTATAAAGTTTCAGTCTCAGAAACACACGGGGGCAGTTCTACAGAGTTCTACAGAGCTGCTATGAGTTGGAATTGACTCAATGGCAGTGAGTCTGGGCTTAGTTTGATTCAGAGGAATATCTATGATATGGCAGGTGTGTTATGTTCCCTGGGAACCACTTAAGTGTGTGTGTGTGTGTGTGTGTGTGTGTGTGTGTGTGTGTGAGTGTGTGTGAGGCAGCACCACTGAGTAGTTTCTGGATACTAAAACCCAACATCTTTCTTGTAGCATACATTTCCAGAGATGTAGTGGGGTGAGGGTGGGAGGGAGAGAGGAGGGCACTTGTCTACTATGCAAGTCCAAGGTGATACCAGAAAAGAATGCAGTGACACATATGCGACTTAGCCATTGCCCCTGAGCTCATTACCCTGCTATTTCCATTCCTGGGGGTTGTTTGTAGATCCAAGGAAAATGAAATCCTTGGTATCTTCACTTTTGTCCATTTATCATGATATTGCCTATTGATCCAGGTTTGTTTTCTTTATGTTGAGGTGCAATTCATATTGAAGGCTTTCAGGACACTGCCTCCTAGCATTGCCATCTCTCAACAGTCAGTATGTTCTCTGGACTACCTGAGACATGTCTCATTTTTGGTCTCCACCCCTCCTGATCTAGTCTGATGTCCATGAGAGGATCAAGTTCTTGCTCTGTATATCCAAAATTCTGTGTGTATGAAGAGCACTTCAAAATATGAATAAAAAGATATGTCTGATCAGAGCACACGGGAGCAAATGAAGGGGAAAGAAGGGAGAGTGGAGCACATCCTGGCCCGCCAAGCCTTGAGGACGATATCTCTGCTCAGAGCAACCAATGCACAAAGAAGACCATAGGGCCAACCCCACTATGAGACACAACACCCCTCACTGACCAATAGCCCTACAAGGGACAACACTGGAGACACAGTGTGGGAATTGTACCCGGGAATTGACCCCACCACACCAAGGCAAAACAGTAAGGGTGTGCAACAGAACAGCAAAGGGAGCAGAGCAGGGAAGTCCCAAGCGAGTACCAAAAATAGACTTTGGGGCCAGGGCACGGCACCCCATCAGACTAGAACAGAAAACACTCCTAAAGGTCAACAAACACACCTTGAACTATTTACAGGCTTTTCTTTTTGTTGTCATTGTTATTGTTGCTGTTTTGTTTTCTTTTGTTGCTTTGTTTTGCTGTCTTGTTTTTGTGCATATTATTATCTCTGCAGGTCTATCTAGATAGGATAGGTGGGGAAAACAACTGGACCGACAGTTCCAGGGGGACGTGGGAGAGGGAGAGGTGGGGGGAAAGGAAACGGTGTTAACAAACGCAGGGAAAAGGGACAACAAGTGATCCAAACTTGGTGGTGAGGAGGGTATAAGAGGCCTGGTAGGGCTTGATCAAGGGCAATGTAACCAAGAGGAATTACTGAAACCCAAATGAAGGCTGAGCATGATAGCAGGACAAGAGGAAAGTAAAAGGAAATAGAAGAAAGAATTAGGAGGCAAAGGACATTTATAGAGGTATAAATACAGGCATGTACATATGTAAATATATTTATGTATGATGATAGGGAAATAGATCTATGTTCATATATTTATAGGTATCAAGGTAGCAGATGGACAAGAACTCCCTCAATGCAAGCACACTTTGTTCTATTAACCTGGCATTCCATGATGCTCACCTTCCCGACACAATCAATGAAGAAAAAGCAGGTGCATAAGCAAATGTGGTGAAGAAAGCTGATGTTGCCTGGCTATCAGAAGATATAACGTCTGGGGTCTTAAAGGCTTGAAAGTAAGCAGCCATCTAGCTCAGAAGCAACAAAGCCCACATGGAAGAAGCACACTGGCCTGTGTGATCATGAGGGATCAGGGATCGAAGGGATCAGGGATCAGGCATCAAAGAACAAAACATCATATCATTGTGAGTGAGGGGGACTGCGGAGTGGGGACACAAAGGCCATCTGTAGGGACCCAAAGCCCATCTGTAGGCAACTGGACATTCCCTTACCGAAGGGTCATGGGGAGGAGACGAGCCAGTCAGGGTGAAGTGTAGCAATGATGAGACATACAACCTTCCTCTAGTTCTTTACTTCTTCCTCCCCCCAACTATCATGATCCCAATTCTACCTTACAAATCCAGCTAGACTAGAGAATGTACACTGGTACAGACAGGAACTGGAAACAAAGGGAATCCAGGACAGATGAACCCTTCAGGACCAGTGGTGACAGTGGTGATACAGGGAGGGTGGAAGGAAGGTGGGGCACAAAGGGGAAATCAATTACAAGGATCTACATATAACTCCCTCCCTGGGGGATGGACAACAGTAAAGTGGGTGAAAGAAGACGTTGGACAGTGTAAGACATGAAAAAATAATAATAATTTATAAATTATCAAGGGTTCATGAGGGGCGGGGGTTAGGGAGGGAGGGGGGAGAAATGAGGAGCCGTTATTAAGGGCTCAAGTAGAAAGCAAATGTGTTGAGAATGATGATGGTGACAAATGTACAAATGTACTTGACACAATGGATGTATGTATGGATTGTGATAAGAGTTGAACGAGCCTCCAATAAAATGATTTTAAAAAAAAGAACTTGACTTTTGAACAATTTGTATAGGAATTGCTAAATGGGAACCTAATTTTCTGTATAAACTTTCATTAGGAATACAATATTTTATAAAAGAAAAAGAATTTGTTTTTAAAGACTATACATAAATTCTTACCAATGTGTAGGTAAAACTGGTTGGCTTGGCTGTACTACACCATGAAGTCCATAGAGAGCAGAGCCAAATGGTCATTGGAAGAGGATTCCACAATATACATTCTTAATAAGCAGCAAATAATGATAAACAAGGACAGAAACCAGTTACCCTTTGTCAAGGGAAATTCATGTCTAAAATAACAAACATCTAATACATTCTTAAGATATATTATTGGCAGATCATTTAGAAAGGAGTATTTCTAAGGGCTTCCCAATTTGAGGGAGCTGTAAATATGAGACTGACAACACTAACCCATGCCTGTAAAGGAACGAATGCCTAGAGAAGATGAATAAGTTATTGCTTTCCACACCTCATGCTGGGACTGAATAGGCCCTGGAAATTGGAACTCTCTGAAAATGCTACAAGACAATGTTATCATATAGGCCTTTCTGAGAGTGTTTATAAATGGACCACATATGGATTTCATCTTATCTATTAGCTAATAAAATTTCTCTTTGAATTATAGATATTTGGAGGCCAGGAGGGAAGACTAGAATATTGTTTCTCTGTTCAGAGATGGCCACTTAAAGCAATATCAAGAAATTCAACCTCACCTTATTGCTGTTGAATTGATTCTGACTCACAGTAACTCTCTAGGACAGAGCAAGGCTACTCTTTAGTTTCCAAGACTGTAAATCTTTATAGGAACAGACAGCCTCATTGTTTTCCTGTGAAGTGACTGGTGGGTTTGAACTGCCAACCTTGCAGTTAACAGTCCAACATTTAATTTGCTATGCCATCAGAGCTTC